ACATATTATTATGTCATTTATTTCATGTATAAGTATAGTTTAATTATAATTATGGTTTATTTTATGAATTATATATATTATAATACATAATATAATTATACATTTTTTATATATATATACGTGWAATTGTGTAATTTTATTCATATAACGATTTTTAGGGGCCATAAAATAATATTGCACATGGGCTAGAATTTTATAGTTACGCCACTGTAGGTTCCTCTAATATTTTATCAATATCTTCTATAGTTAGAGCTGCCATATTTATACCAAAACTATAAAATTTAGTATATAGTTTATTTAATGTAATACAGAATTATTTCAAAATGAGCTTTATAAAATAGTTACATTCGATGGAATCCGAAAAATTCGTCTCACAGGAATTTGTTTTTTTATTACGTGAGTGAATAGGTTGGGTCTCACAGACCCATTTCGTTTTCYGGCTGAATTAAATGATACTGATATTGAAAAATAAATACTAACTATGATAACAAATGATTGTTAGGTATATTGACTACAGCTATTGAAAATATCAAGTATTACAGTATGACCAACATAACTTTCTTATCGATATTTAAAATGCTGGGGTCTGATAGACCCGACCTACCTATCGAAGGGCTAATTTGAGCAAATTGTCATAAAAGGAGTAATAATCTTTCTCTATTGATACTTTTAACTGTTGTAAGTGTTATTGTAAAAACTATTTGAAATTAAAATGAAAATTAATTTTTTTTTTTGATGCTTACACAATCATATTATAATCAATGTTTAAATGGTTTTCGATATTTTCAAGTTTTGAGACGATATTCATAAAATCATAATAATATTCATATTTATATATTTGATATCCATATTCTGTAAATATACATTCAATATCGTGATATTTATCAATATAATTATAAATTACATTTAACTTTGCACATAATATTAATTGGTCAAATGCATCATGAATTAAACCACCAAATTCTGGATTCTGTTTACTGTAWAGAATTGTAAATAAATGTGTAAATAATTAAAAATTTATAAAAATGTATAATATAAAAAATGTTCTTACTATTCATTAAATGACAAAAAATAATCAGTTATCTTTGTGCTCGTCATTATTTTGTGTACATTTATGGTTTTATTTTTAATAAATAAATAATTGTCGCTAAAATCTTGGAACTTTAAAAACAAAATAGCAGGAATAACTTTAAATTYTTTGTATTCTTTTAATAGATTAAAGTTTTGCACATTAAAATTTATAACTAGTGCATCTTCGGATATTTCATTTGGCATTTGCTTCCTGTAAATAATAGATTTTTAAAATATGAAAAAATGTATCTATCAATGTATAATAATAAACTTACTTATTTTCAAATGAAATGGTATAAAACAAACGTTGGCTTTCTATGGCATCCAGAATTTGTTTTTTAAAATCATGATTTTTTTTTTCGCTTTATTTAAATGTTTTTTGTTACACAACATTTTTGTAATGATAATATCTTTTTTAATAATATAATTATTATAGAAATTATTTTGCTTTATGATATTAACAACGTCATCATGAATTTTAGAATTTGCAGGTAATAATATTTTATTATTACTACATATTTTATCTTGAATGAAGACATACTATTATTCAAATATTTTAATACATTTACGTTATTAATGCCATTTTTTTTAAAATATAAATCAATTAATTCAACATCTACATATATATGATGCCCCATCTCACACAATTCTCTTATTCCTCTGCATATATAATATATATGCTATTATTTTCTAAAGATATTATAATAATTTATTAATTATTTAGTTTTTATTCCAATTTGTAAAAGAAATAAACTTACTTCATTATGATATA